GGCTGGCTGGCATGTGGTGCTGGGGGATTGAACCGCGGTCCTTGTGCTCTGCTGAGCTTGTTCTAAGTAGGTGCTGTAGACCACTGAGCCATCTCACCAGCCCCTGCATACCTCTTTGTACATAGTTAATTCCTTAGTTTCCATAGGAGATAAAGTTTTATCTCTTTTATAGTATTGTAAGTGTGTAGTGAGAAATTTATAGCATTATCTATGCAACATTACAATTACCCTTCCCTTGTGAATTTATTTTATTGACTTGATTTCTAATGTTTTTATTTGAATAGTTGAGCTGGGTGTTTTTCTGCTTGTGTGCTACAGAATTTTTGTGTTAATATTTATGTAAATGTAGGCAAGTGCAAGGACCCACGTTCAATCCCTGTACTGCCATGGCTGGCACATGCCACCAAAACCAGTCATAGTGACACACACCTGTAATCCCAATGCTGAGAAGGCTGAGGTAGGAGGATCACTATGACTCTGAGCTGTGTAGTGAGACCCTGTACCAAATAAATAAATAAATGGTTTTAACTTTATGTGTAAATTTTAAAATAAAGTAATATTGGAAAAGAATATGTTTTACATGTATTTAATATTAAATAACTGAATTTAGCACCTTGTAAAATTTGAAAATTATATGCATAGTTTTATGTTAAGTACTGATCTTTGAAGGTTCCTCCTAATCATTTTCTACATGATCACTTAAGTACTTCGTATTTCATATTAGTTGTGCACAAATACAATGTAGTAGGTTAGTTAAAAGATAAATGTATAATTGTCCCAACTCATTATTACAGAATAGGACTTTAACCCAATTTTAATCTGTTTTCTTAAAATGTTTTAATTCAGATTACTTTCTTGTAACTATTGTCATTGTGATCATTTTGCTTTAAAGCGGCACCATATTGGAGATCGCAGTCTTTCCTTATGTAATATGTTCCTGGATGAAATGGCCAAACAAGCTCGGAATCTGATCACTGATATTTGCACAGAACAATGTACTCTTAGTGACCAGGTAAATATTTACGTCTT